TTTTCTGATATTTACAGGACGTAGTTGATAGCCAATATTTTCATTGTAAAGGCAGGATTGAATACACCCACTGATTAATTTATAAATACTGTCATGACATTTGGAAATGCATAGACTCATACAGACAATGTTCTAGCTCCTTCCTTTGGGATTTTTTGGGAAATTTCTTTTTTTAATAAGAGGGCTTTGAATACCAGTTTTAGAGAGTAAATGTATGCAGTTAAATTAACAAAGTTGACGCAGCGCTGTGGTAAATCAGGTCCAATAAATTTGTGATCCATCCAACCTACGAGGGTCCATTTTCCTCATCTTGGTGCTTTTTGAATTTTAGCAATCTGGAGAAAAGTCCTTAATGAGATGGAAATAGAGAAGGGAATGGAAACTGGAAATATGTATTGAAGAAAGGAGTTTAGGTGGAAACAGATATATGCTATTTAAAAAAAATGGGAGTATTAGTTCAAATTAACAGGACTTTTTTTAAAGACTATTGCCATTGATGTTGTTTAGACATTTTCTCATCTTGTCCCTAAAGTTACTGTAACTGAAATATTCACAAATTCACCATTCAAAACTGAGGCTCTAAGGGTATGTCTACACTACAGCGCTAATTCGAACTAAGCTAATTCGAACTAACGCATCTAGAACTAAAAACTAGTTCGAATTAGCGTTTTGCTAATTTGAACTAGCACGTCCACACTGATTGGATGCAGGAGCGCATTTAAGGGCAGCTGAAACCGGTTCTGGCAGGGCATCAGGTCAGTAGTTGCGTTGTGTGGCTGCTGTCTGAGGCTATCTGAGGCTTGTGCTTAAAGGGCCCCCCCCCGGACAGCCGGTTCTCAGCTTTTCCTGCTTGCTTGCCAACCTTGCCGAGGGACAGCAAAGCGTTGGTCTCTGTGCCCGTCTGTGTCGGTGCTTCCCTTCGGGGATGCCGCTGCAGGTGGCAACATGGAGCCGTGGCTCGCCCTGCACCTTCTGGTGCATTTTCTGGACTTGCTGCTGCAAGCCTGCCAGCAATGGCTCGAGGCTGCCTGGCACCACCTGGTGCACGTCAGCCCCC